GATTTTTTAGTAAAATTCATTAACTTTTAAATAACCCTACAATATACACAAAAAAAATGTATACTTCTTGAGTTATTCGGAAATCTAATTTTACCACAACTCATCACTTCTTTTCGTTTAAGTGCGTTATATAGATAAATTTAACAGGCATTGAGAAGAAGACTTAAACGAAGTATCATTGAAATCGGTACATTCATTCAGGTGCTACAGGCTATACCAAAACAGGTTTTTCGGCCACCATCTTTAAAGGAAAGGGCGGATAGTAATGTCGAGTTAGGAGGATCATCCTCGGGTGAGCTCTGACTTTGATTCCAAATTTGAAAAAAAAAATCAGTGTAGTAGTCTTGGAGAAAAACCGCGGACGGCGGCCGGACAAAAAAAAATTTATTCGATTTTCGAAATCTACGTATCCTGAAACGCAAAACCTCACATTTTTAGGGAGGTGAAATTTTTGGACCATTACAATGGTTCTTTATTTAAAATAATATACCAAAATACATAATAAATAATTACATAAAATTATGCATATATATACACAATTCGTGAACAGAAACCTAAAGGCAAAACGTAGATAATAATGGTTTTTAACATACAATAATCGCATAAAATAATGTATATAAAGTTGATAAATGGCGTAAACTGGAAGGAAAAAGTCATTAAGAAAGAGAAATAGTCCGAAACGTCGATCATAATGACGTAGATAAAACTTCTTAGAAATGGCTTAGTTCTTGTGACGAAAAGACAAAAGAATATTTAAAAACTTTAATGTATATATATATATTAAAATGGATTTTAAATACATACTATAAAATATTAACATTAATTTATTTCAAAACCACCTCATATTCAGTATTTGTTAAATTCTAAAAACGTAATGAAAATAATATAAAAATTTACTGTGAATTCCGAAAAAAATATATTATTAAAGACCCCATACAGCGCAGACCGAGTTTAACATATTATTGTAACAATTTTAAATAGTAGATCAATTCAAATCCAAAATATTTTAGATATACGTATTTATAAAATACGTTTTTATCATAATATGTATGTTGTATTTTACTACAGTAAATATACGATCACTTTGTGAAGTAAATTAATAATAACTACCTAAAAAAATAGTGATACGCTAAATCTCTATGACTTCGATGAAAAACCAGGCTCATCTTAAATTCAAAGTATTATTTTCTCGTAAACAAAAATCACTTTTACAAAAATATATTCTGTGTAATTTAAAAAAAAATGTCGCTTTACTTCTAAAATGTTTTTTACTGTAACCATATAATTTTTTAATTAAACATAAATACATGAAATTTTGAGCAGATTTATAATTAAAATTGTTCCCTCTCGGAGTTCTGGGTACTAATACTATCCTTTGATCCTGATCCTGCCGTATAGAGAGGAAGATATCCTTCTTCCCCGAAGAAACCGGAGGACATCGCGTCCTTCCTTGGGGGTGGTCGGGAACGTATCGATCGGTGTGGCCTACCCCAACCTGTCTAGCCGTCTGCCCCCCCCCCTCCCTCATCCCGTATCCTCCCTCTCTCCCTCCCTTTTCCTCCCACCCACTAGCGGGTTCTCAAAATCAAAAATCCCATCCCAAATCCCGGCCACCTGTTACCGTCCTGTTCACTTATCTGGGGTTTAGGATCATTTATCTTGTTCCTCAACAGATGACTGAGGTGGAAGAATATTTCTTTTAGAGATTTTTTTTTGTTGTATACTATTCGAAAATTATATTACAAAATTAAATCGCAGTATTCTTTTTAATATATTATTAATTTATTTTTGTTATTATTCCACAATTATTTTGATCAAATGAGCTGATTTTACAGAAAATAATGACTGAGGTACAAATTCTCTAGTTATTCTAGGAAAGAGATCTCTCATCCACCGTCTTTTTAATCTGATCCTCATATTCAGGTTTCCTCATATTCCAGCTGTATCCATATCTCTATTAAAGTGTTGGTATGTCCGTTCAAATTTCTGCACGGACGTAATGATATAATGCAATATTATATCCAACTGTTGGCAGATGGAGTAATTATTGTTACTTTGTTAAATATTTTTTTGAACGTACTCTATAGTGCAACTTAAATTCATATAGTTTTGTTGATTGAGAAGAATTAAGTTTAGAATATCAATAACAATAATTAAGATTTTTTTTTCTTAATTTCTCTATTCACACTAATCACAGAAGTTACTATAAGCAAATGTGTTTAAATTTTATGAGAATGGCTACTGTTCACAATTACAAACATATTTGATTTTCTATATCTTTATTTATTTTATCAGTACTAGGGTCATTTTTAAATATGGAAACGATATTACAGAGCTACGTTTTGTTATATACCTACCATGCAACGTCTGCTTAAAGTCTTAAAATTTTGGATTGAAAAGATCCTATTTTTATTTGTGGAATTATTATTACTTAAAAAAAAAAAAGTAATTTGGATTCCTGTTGCGAAAGGTCAGAATCTACATATTGTAATGAAGACAACAATTCAGAGAGTCCACCATTGAAGAATATTACATTTTTTCTTCAATTCATATTTTTTAAATATTTATTTATTTATATTTTGTACAAAAATTGAATGATAAAAGCAATCGCAGTTCTACGCCGGCACAAGCAATAAAATGCAAATATCTTTTTGGAAGATAAATTTGTTTTTCGTTTTTTTTTTTAATGATAAATTGCAATAACGAAAATGAAAAATAAAATAAATAAAAGCAACACTTATATATATACCCTTAATTTATCGACTTGATGATGTTAAAATATCAAAAAATATAATCATTAGGACTAACTTAAAATGTCTATTTTTTAAATGTAATACTGCCACTTCTTCTCATTAGGAAAATGTCATTATTAAATAATTTATAGACTTGAAGTAATAACCAAATGTATTACAATATCTATCGTTAATATAATTATTATGAAAACTATACAGGAAATCAAAACCTCAAAAATATAGCGATTAATCTTAAAAATTTCACATTTTCATTTTTTAAATAAATCAAACTTGGTTAATTTTTCTTGTAATGATTTGTGGAATAAAAAACAGATGAATTAATTACCTACATCCTTATAGGCAATTCATTTTATTAATTTCTGATTTAAAAATAAATTAAACTACTTTTAGTTCTATAGTCCTTTAACGATGTTACGAGCTCATAGTTTTTAGAAATTGTAAGGACATTTCTAAGGATTTTTTTTTTTCGAAATCCTTTTATGTATTTAATTTTTTGAATTGCCGGCTGGAGAAGGAAAGAGAATTGAAAAGGTCCCAAGGTCACATGCATCGACTGAGCCAGAAGTCGATACCAGTTTCTGAAACGTTACCAAACTCAACTCCACCAAATATTCATTTATTTATTCAGACATATCGTGCAAAAATTGGTTGTTAAAAACCGAAAAAAAAATAATGAAATATTACAATATTTTTATCGTTTTATCAATAGTAATTCGTGTAAAAATTAAAAAAAAAAAAAAAATAGAAAACATGACAATTTTTAAAGTCATTAATAAATACTAATTTAATTAACTTTTTTTTTTTGTTTGTCTTTAATTCTTCATCCGCACCTGTCATGGTAGTGACAATTAGCAGATTAATATTATTAATATCATAACATTATTAATATTTTATTATTGATAAAACCAATATACTATAAGATACTAGTGAGATAGAATAATATTTGGAAATACAACGGCGTAGAATAACACAATTAACGATTTTAGGCTCCAACGGACTACACTGACCTTCCTCAAGCATTTCTCTATTATATAACTTTCTCTTGCTCCACCCAACATTGAAACTATAGGTTTATTTTCTATATTAAAAAATCTGATGCTGTGTGCGCATCACTCAACTTGCCAACCTACTTAGAATAAATTTTAAAACATTAAGAATGTTACTTCAAATATAAACATTAACCTATTAATATTACTATTAAATTAAACGAGTCTGTATACTATTTATTTTGGCATTTTCAAGTTTTTCTAAAAATGTAAAAAAAAAAAAAAATTAAATTTACTTGAGAGCACACATTTTTAAAATTCTACATTTAATACAATTCCACTAATACGACTATATTTATATAAAAAATCATTTCATTGTACTTTGAAGTAGCGAATTAAATCAAAATCGTTAAAACCATGTACGAGAAAGTGGTAAAAAATCTAAAATTTATAATATAAAGTGATATTTCCGGTAACTACATTTAAATGTAGTTAAATGTAAAGAAAAAAAAAACATACCAGGCACATATCAACCTTAAATATGTAATTTCAGTTTCAAAAATTTATTTTATTCGTTAGGCTGTTAACATACAACAGTTGTGCATATAAAATGTATAATAATTTTTGTTTACAAATCATTGTGTTTAATGAAAAATGTAATTAATGTACGTGCCAGTAGTAATTTTACTTTACCAATAAATACATGTGATATGCCAAGAAATTATTTTAAATTAAATAATCGAAAAATTAATTCAATAATTTTTGATTTAATTTTATTTTATTTTTTTAAATTGTGAAGGCATCGTTGAAAAATGAAGATAATGGATGGGCCAATCATGCTGTAATACTTGCCATTGAACGTTAGAGTGCAGATTTCTTGATTCTTGTAATAAAATGGAGGCTTCTTGGATAAAACAAATGGATTTATTTGATCTAATATATATTATTGCTCTCTTATCTTCCTAGATTTATTTCACCGATTTGAAGATTCCATCAACAGCTTGATTTACTTCTGTCTTGAGCGCGATCTCGTGAATCTAGTCTCTAAATCTAATTTGATTTTGCTGAAATAGGTTAATTGTAAAGAACTTTAACTAATTGAAATTGAAAAAAAATATGATCAATTGCAAATCTACGTTTTAGGAATTAAGTAAATATTTTTCAAGTACTTAGTTGTTGACTACTGATGGACTAACTTCGTATAATAAAAACATACAAACTCATAAATTATAAAATACAAAATAATTATAAATATTCTTACCTGTCTCATCTTGTCGGGATATTTCATTCTCCACGATTCCAGATGTTCAGACGCGCATGACAAATCTATAAAAAAAAATAAAATAAAATAAATTAAATGTTTAACACTTTTTATAAGCATAAATATAATAGAGATTTATTATAATAAATTTAATATAATATATACGCATTCTTGGTTTAAAAAGTATGAATATTGGAAGAAATAATACTGTAACAGCATTTTAATTTATAAAAATATTAATTAACTCTTAATAAATATTATAAATTTAATAAATAGTTATAGAATAATTAATTCACAACGCATATCAAAGGAACTATGGCTGCCATTGTGAGCGACCTGGTTTGTTTGACCGGCCTTAAGAGAAAGTGGCCCACTCCAAGAGGACACGGCGAAGGAGTTAGGCAAAGCCAACATAACACTCCAGGATTCCGGGTTTATGGCCAAGGGGCAGGAGATTTTATATATATATATATATATATATATATATATATATATATATATATATATATATATATATATATATATATATTAGGTAATTAGGACATATTTCAATTGATCTCAATCCCAAATTAAATATATTAAAATAAAGTTGTTTTATCTTTTTAATTAAAAATTATTAAGCAATTAAATTGAGCAAATTAAACTATAGTAAACCATAAAATATGAAAAGTTATACAATTAAACTTGGAAAAATAAATATATTTAATTTTTTTTTAATTATTTACCAGTATTATATATTTGATTCCTGATATAAATTACGACATATAGTTTTCAAACATCCAATTACGTAAGAATTAATTATTTGCTAATCCATTTTATATCATAAAAAAAAATTATATAGAGACCGTAAAATTCATTACACATATTTTTTTTAATTTCCCATAGTTTGCAAAATGTCTAAACGCACCTTTACGCAAATGATAAAATATGAAGAATATCGATTTTATTTTATATTTGATTAAGATATCGTAAGCTAGATATGTTCAGATCATGTAGGGATGAATACACCGAAACTTCAAAAAGAAGTTTTCAATAAAAAAAAAAACTGTTAAAGGGAAATTTCCATTCACATGGTAAGATATATAAAAATTAATCTTGTGAAATAAATTTTAAATAACCTGTACCATACAACTCGTGAAGTGTTCAGTACTTTATAAGAATCACGTTTGACATCCAAATTTTATAGAGGCTGAGTGAGCCCTAGGAGGGTCCCCCGACGCAAGGATCGATCGTCAAGTTATTTTTCGGATTCGAACCCGGGACTTCGAGGTTCGAAAGTCAGTGCTTACTCACTAAACTATACCGCTCCTTAATTTTAAAAATATTCCTTCCAATTATTTTAATAATAAACTATTTAGTATTTTTTTTTTTTAAAGAATCAATAACACATAACAATCTTTTATTTTACGTATATATATTTTTTTTTTTTATTATCTATGCACAATGATGAATGAATAATGAAAATATTTCCGAAGTCTCAAAGGCAGATTTTTATTCAAAAATAAAAAAGGTTTACACAAATGAAGTGTATACCCGTGTCCACATTCTCAGGCATAAAGTAGCTAAATTTGTTGGGTTTTGTATATGTATATGTGTATATGTATGTATATATATATGTGAATGTGTATATATCGGTCAGAAGGGCGGAAGCTGCTTGCTTGCCAAGAGAAAGAGTACTAGACATTGGCCTTGTAGTTAAATACGGACTCGACTCCCACTAAATGAATTCTCACCACTGCATTAGCTGACCTTCTCAATCAGAATGTGTCTTAGAAGGCCTACATTAAATACAAAGTCTGTAACCTGATACATTTATATTTAAAATATAGATACCCTGACTATTTTATAAACAACAAATCTCAATTTTCAACTATTTATCTATCTCCTCTTCACATAAAAAAAAAAAAGAAAAGAAAAAATAGCCATTTATTATTTTAAAAAACAATAACAATTAAAAATTTCATATTAATTTCCAAAAAAAGAAAAAAAAAGAAGAAATCTTGCTACATGTTATGTTATGTTAATAATAATAAAAAAAGAAAATGACTTCAAGTTATGCATAGGAAAAAAAATATGTATTTATATGGACCAGTATTAATAATTTTTATTGTACCTTATAATCTCCAATGCAAAATAAAATAAAAAAAAAAATTATGAAGGATATTTCGAATCCTTGAGTTCAAAAATCACCTCAACAAAATCTGATCATAATTTAATGTTTGTAATAAATTTCACTAAATCCTTCTCATAGGCCATGATGTAAATATAATATTTAATATTTTCTCTTTGGAGTCAAATATGTACATTTTTTGGATATTTGTAGCAAAATTCTTGACAGAACAATATCATATTTTTTCTAACAATTAATTATATTTGTTTGTATGGTAAATTCATTAAGAATTTGAGAACAACGCGTTGAATTGAGAACAATTCAAAATCATACAAGAGTAAAAATCAAGACACAGCGTCATTTAGTTGTATTATTCCAAACATTATTTTATACTAACGGTTAAAAATAGGCACACACATCTATTATGTATTGACATTTCATGCAAAATTTTAAAACACACAATTTACAGGTGTTATAAAAAAAGAAAAAAAATAGAAAGTTAAATAAATAAATTAAAAAATGACAAACACAGTTAAAGATCTATATAACGATGATAGTGAAGACACACACTTAAAAGATGTGTTTTGAGAAGATGGGTTGCTTTATTAAAGGATAAGCTACTCACAAACAGTAGTACATCAATCCATAATAATCCTCTATAATACTCACAATATCTATACAAGTTCATATACATCCAACTCTTCATCCTCAGGAGGTAAGGAAATGTGCAAGAAGTCCTTTTCACTCCTTAGAGCTCTAGCTAGCTAAGTCTAAACTCTACTTCTCTTGTCTCTAAATCCCTTCATTTATTGATGCATCTTTCAGAATTTTTATGTACATTTTATCATGTAGGTATCAATTGCGCACCTGTGGGTATGAGGTTTCGCTGGGATGGTCTAGCAATGATGTAAGGATTCTCGATTATGCGTGGAAGAACAATCAGAATTTGAAAAAAAAAATTATTTAAAAAAAAATGAATTTACTTCGTAGTACTTAATCAAGTCCTGAAGTACGAAGTAGCGTGGCTTGGGTTGAGGATACAGTCGCTGCTTGGCTGTCTGGCGACTGGGCAGAACGCGCCGCCGCAACTTAACCGCTCTTCGTTACCTTGGAAACGCCATTTTGAAATTGAAATTTTTATTCAGCCTATTTTTCCATTTTCCGGAATTTTTTTTTCCCCCCCGAACAAGAGGACAACCGTTTCGAATATAGCAAAAAACTTAAAAGAAGGAAATAAATGCATATAAAAATTTACCTGATAGAAGGAATGAGAAGCTTATATTGCCGATAGAAATGATTAAATTGGGCCACTAGGATGCACCTAGGCCTGAGTGCACTCGAGAAAGTATGAGATAGCCAGGCACAGCTGAGCATTAGCCAAGCTCAAGAATAATATCAAGGCAAGCTACTTTCACAAACTCCTCCTCTCATTTTGGCTATTTATAAACAAATATATCGTCTCTAAACTTCCTCCTGAGCATCTATCATAATACTCAAAAATTAAAAACCAACAGCCAAAAGTAGTCAAAACTACACTATTTTCAACAATTGAACCATATAAATAAAAAATCAAAGCAATAAAATCATTCTGATATATAAAATCCAAAAGAAACAACCAAATATATCAATACATTTGAATACTAACAAATAATTAAGTAAAATATGAAAAAAACACACATCAAACTATTTCAAACACAAGAGAACTAAAATATGATATGACACAGAAGAAAAAAATATTAGATTCATAAATTACTCAAAAAATTAAGCCTACTTGCAAGAAATATAATACAAACACTTTTAAATGTTATATATATATATATATATATATATATATATATATATATATATTAAAATATATATATTTCAGAAGACTACTTAAAAAAAAAAAGAAAATTGAAACTTTAATCATTGCTGAAGAATCTCACAAGTGCAACTCAGTTCAAATGAATTTATACACATTTATGAAGTAGAAACACAATATACAGATTAATAATACAAGGAAATGCAAAAAGGGCTTGTCTCAAATGCAACACAATATGAAATGAATAATTTCTTCCATAGAATTCAACACCCAACTCTAAATAATCCTAAGCGTTCTTGGACAATACACTGAGAATATCATATTTTCTTCTTTATTAATAAATTTCAAATCACTTTATACTTGTCACTTTTTTTTTATTGTTTCTTATGGGCAGATATACAACACATAACTGACCTACTAACCTCAACACAATACAAAATGGTGCCAGTAGTTGCAAGTGCAATGACGACGTATCACATTTTTGGTTTTAGGCTGTTGTAAGTTTTGTCTCACCTTCTTAAAATAAACGTTGCAATGCACTCTGGCTTCGATGCAGTCTGCAATCCGACTGAGGTCTTTCGGACAATGTCACACTCTGATGCAACCAATCTTGTCACGAGAATAGTCCGAACATCTCCGGTAATCCGGCACAGAAATCACTGATTTAAAAAAAATTAAAATATAATCTGAAAATGTGACGAGTTCACGATTATAATTATAAAAACGAAATGAACAAATATGGACGGAACGGAGCTCTGTCATTGGGGGTTAATAGCTGACGTCACAGATAGAGTAACCTCCTAAAGGCTTCTTGGTCTGTTTTGAAAAATATTAAATATTTTTTTATTTTATTTTATATTTAAAGACAATCTTACTGTAGTATAATTTAAGGATTTTTATCAATTTTATAAAATATAAGCAAGGAAAAATTACAAAAGATCCACCTATATCCTTCCCTAACACCATGTTTTTTGCAATTTTGTTTATATCTTCGAATCTTCATATTAATTTTACTTAAAATTAATATATTTTCAAAACTCGTTGTTGTTCCATTAAATACTGATTTTGTTCCAAACATATAATTTGTAAAAACTTTAGATAATTTTATTTATCTTTTATGATCCAAAAGAAATGACATTTCTTCTAATAATTGAATTGTATCATTCTAATTTAAACGAGATATATATAAAGAACGTTTCATATTAACAGAATTTTAATGTTATTGATGGATTAACATTGAAAAAAACAAAAACATAAAAAAAAAAAGGATCTTGCAGTTAGTATTTTAAAAAATACATATTATGTTTTTAATAGGTTATAGATATTGTGTGTGGTTATAAAAAAACTATTTATTTTTACATAGACTTACAAATTTTATAACTCAAATAAATTCATTATTTCCAAAATTAATTACACATATCTAAGATTTTCAAACTTTTCGAATGTTTTTTTAAATGAAACTATTTAAAGGAGTAATTATAGTTATAGCATTGAATACACATTTTGGAATTATAACCAGCTATGTTTATATTTCATTTAGTCAAAATATATATTATCTGTAGTATAAGGTATATATGTGCCTATATAACACATGGATTATATTTTTACTATTGTGTATAGCTTCATTTAAGAAAATTGTTTCCAATTTTAACCAAGTTTGGAACTTGGTATTGTAAATACTTATTTTTAATGCTTTGTTTCAGAATAGATTTATATGAATTAGAAACGAGTTATTTTAAGGAACATAGCATATATTTTAGAATTTACTTTGAAGTGCAAACAAGTATATATATCATTAATTTTATTTTATTTAAAATTACTTAGGTAAAATATGTCTGTTGCACATATTTAATAACAGCTGAAGCTTTTAATTAGTTTTACTGTTCATTTACTGTATAGGGTTTTGGTTTTATTTGATTATTTGAAATAAATTTTGTAGAAATGAAAAATTAATGCTTTAATTGATGGCAAATTAAAAACATTCAAATTGAATAGATACAATTTTAAGCAAATATACAGGTGATTTCATTGTTTTATCCATTTTTCAAATACATTTTTTTAGTATAATGTGTGATTTTAATTGGTGTAATTGATAATGTTTTAAGCTGTTTTTAATTAATATTTATATATCAAATTATGGTAAGATTAATAATAGAAGATTTAGTTATTTTTATTATTATTTTTTGCATTAAACCATAAAAAATTGAATAGTTACAGGTGTATGAAATCATATTAGAGGTTTATATTATTATATTGCAATGTTTTTTTTGTTTTTTTGTTATGAGTATACTTAAATTTTACCTATTTTTTTTATTACGTTTTTCTGATATACTATGTTATTTTAATTAGTGCAATTAATAATATTTTAAACTGCATTATGACTAATATTGCAGAAGTCAAGTTATGATAAGTTTAAAAAGCGATGATTTAACTATTATTATAATAAGTTTCTGCAATTAACCATTATTAACAATAGAAAACTAAATAGATGCATGCTCATAAAAATATATAATTAGTTTCCAATATTACATAATATAATGTTCGTTTAAATAAGTATACTTAAGTTTTATATATTTTTTAAATAAGTTATTGTAATATAATATGTTATGTTAATCAATTTAATTGATAATATAATGAACTACATTTTAATTAATATTGCACAAGTCTAAGGGTCGATGGTATCTTTATTTTTACCTATATAAATAAATTAAAAACATTGAGACTTGAATAGTTAGAAGTTTATAAAAATGTATAAGTGGTTTATATTATTAGTTCATACCAGGTTTTTTTTTAAAATATTTATACCTAAATTTTATTTATTTTTTTAAAATAATGTACTAACACTAATCTAATTAGTGTATTTGATATATTAAAATTCATTTTAATTAATACAACATAAGTCGATTTAATGTAAGATCAAGTATCGATAGTGAAATGATTTCTATTATTATTTGTTCGCAATAAACTATTAAGAACATACAAAATTGAAAAAGTACTAGTAATTTTAAAATAAATATACTTAATTTTTTGCAATTTTTCAGAAACGTTATTTAAATATAATATGTTATTTTTATGGATGGAATTGAAAATGTTATTAATATTGCGTAACTCAAGCGATGAAAAATTTAAGGATCGATGGTTTGATTTTTTTTTTTTTTTTTTTACTTAAAGGTAGTAATACCAAATACCAAAAATGAATTGGTACAGGTTTATGATAATATATAAGTGGTATGGTTTATTTTTAATGAATGTACTTAAGTTTTATAATAACATTATTTGTGTAATTGATAATATTCAATACAATGTAATTGATAAATGCAATACAATTTATATTGTATAAGGCTAGTTAAAATAAGGTTCAGAATCGATAGATATTGATTGATTAAAATATTAATGTCTATGTTGTGAGGTATCTTTCCAATTGATTTATAAATAAAAATTGTTTATTTTATGTTTATTTATGTTATACGTTTTTTGTTTTGTTTTTTTCTCTAAGAAATGGAAATTATTAGCATACTTAATAATGAATAAATAAAAATACTATATTTATGTATTAGAAATTATGATAAATAAGCAAAAACAAGCATATACGAGAATATATATTCGGAAAATGTAAGCAGCGTGAATAGAGTGGGTAATGTATCTGAGACTGGGGTAGGTCGGGAGAACAGGGGTGAACGACCGGGCACTCCAACTCCCCCCTCCCCCCCGGCGACATACAGGCAGGACATAAAGTTCAGGATCACCGATCGCAAGCAAGGATATCTTGTCTCTACATGTTACCTATATATCGTTAGCGATGGACAGGAGGAGCAAGCCAGCACAAACCAAACCGGCAACCGACAGATCTGGACTACGAGGGAAACTAGAGCGCCTGCGCCGGCGGGGCATCGACCCTGTTTCAACCGATGGCGCCAAATTCGAATTGGCGGGAATTTTTTTTTCGGGGGGGGAGGGTGCGAATTTCGAAATGTCGGAGAAGAGGTGCAATGAGTTGGGCGCGGTCGAGGCGACTGGTCGAATGCAGTGAGTGGTGGGGAATGCACTTCCACCTTGAGATGCAAGTTCAGAAATAGAAGCTCTCTAGATATAGAAAGCATTTCCGGGGTACGCGCGAGGTCAAATTTTTAAATTCATATCAGCTTCGATGCAGTCGATAAAAGGAATGTTTTTAAAACTGCTTTCTAGAAAGAATTGTTTGCATTTTTATCATAACCACAATATAAAAATTTATTGAGTCTTAATGTCTATAGATAGATAGATAGATAGATAGAAAGTAAACTTTATTCTGGGACAAAGTCCCTTATGAATAACAGATATGAACAAAAAAATAAAAACTACATCTAGCCAAAAATTACATTAATCGATATTAAAGAATATATACAGTATCTTCAGTGAAGTTAAATTAAAACAAGTAAAAATAAAATAAAATTTTGAGAAAAAACGAAATAAAAAAAAACATTATTTAAATGAAAAAAAAAAAAAAATAAAATAAAATAAGCATGGGTTGATTTTTAAAATTAAGACTCAATAAATTTTATCAACCATTCACCTCAGTCAAAATCTGTTTCACAATATTTATTATATATATATGTATATATATATGTATAGATATATGTAGTAGAGAGAATCACTTTATTATCATAAAAGGGTGCTGCCCAATTACATTGGGTTGCTTTAAACACAGCATACTTATTGATCGCTACAGACAATTTTTCAAAACTAATATACAATTTTTTTTATCTATATATTTTTTTATTATTATAATTTTTTTCCTATATTTTTATTTTATTTTTTTACTATTTCTTTCATTCATTTATTAGCATTATACATCCCATTCTGTTCCTTCTCTCCCCTTATACACTTTTCTCATTCCCTAGATTTTCTCCTCTCTTTTCCTAACCTAATTCATAACATGCATACAAATACATAAAGTGCAGTGGACCTGGTCAATAAATAATGTAAAAATGCTGTAAAACAC